CTCTCAGTCCTATGCTTTCACGCACAGGAAAGTAAACGGCAAAAATGAAATGAGTGCAATTACAATTCACTAATTGAAATAATAATAATAATAGAAGGGAATTCGGGGATAGTGGAGCCAGCAGATGGCGGAAGGGGGGGCAGGCAGAATGTCCTGGGAATAGGATTGATCAACTTATGTGCATGTGCGAACGTGGCACGATGCACCCCATTGCTATGTACGATCATAGTGCACCAACAAAAATTTCTTTTCAATTAAGTGAAATGATGTCAGGGTCACATATTTTAGGCAACAGAAATGAATCTGATAATCATTAAACTGAAACCGTAACGAATCAGCACCTTCCCAACTGTTGGGCTGCGTGTGCTCTCGGCCCATGGGTTCCCAGGGCTTCAGAACCGCAGGACTGCAGTCCCACATGGTCGGCCCAGGCACAGCCAGCTCCGTTTCACGACACACAAAGACGCCTGGTTTCAGGACTTCTGTGCAAAAACCTGTACCAACACACCAAATACGGGAGGAGGTGATGATTCACGTTTCAGAAAGCATTCCTGGACGGGAACCTGCCACCTCAGCATTCTTGCTGCCTCATGATTCCTCCAGGCCTCCTGGGCATCACGTAATCAGCCAAAGTCGGTTTTGTGTAGCATTTTATTTTTTTAGGGCAAACCTATTCAGGGAAGCAAGGGAGCCCCAGTGATTTGGGACAGGGTGTCCTTAGCTGAAGGTGTGGCTGAAGGAAGACCTTCTTGTGGGATCAATCCCGTCCTCTTGCAAAGTGAGCAGCAGACATCTATCCTGGGGAGAGGGGGTGCTCACTTGGGCCCGGCCTGCTCCAGTATGACAGTGACATCGCTTAGGACAATGGTGGCCAGAAATAGAAGTAGAATTAATCTGCACGCAAACACCAGCAAGCTAATGTACCAGGAAGCAGCAGCGGGGAAGGGGAAGTTCCCAAGCTCCAGGGACTTCGCACTCCCAAGGGGAAGGACTGCTGCAGATCTGACTGGATCCTTGGCCCAGATCCGCAGTTCCTTTATCATTCACCCCAACGCGGCCACGTCTGGCTCAGCCAAGGACAAAGGGCACACGATGTCTAGGTAAAAACCTGGACTAACCAACCCCTAAGTGCAAATGGCGGTCCAGGCCAGGTGGGGGTCAGCCAAGGTTTCCTGGAAGACAGGAAGAGAGCTTTGTGGTTGGGTAAGTTCCAGGGGAGCTGGGGCGGGGTGGGGGAGGCCTCAATTTAGACTTGAGCTGGCCAAAAATCAGTCAACTCCCTATTTCTTAAAGTGTCCATCTCTGTCTGAACGGGCTGCGGAACATAGAAACTGGGGAACCCCAAGCAGTCTCCCCAGCCTCAGACAAATCAAAATGGAAGTTCTAAAGGTGAGGGGGGCTGCTGAGTGTTATTGGCAGGTTCTCCAAGCAGTTCATTCTCCAACTGCCCCCTGAGAACAGACCGTGGGAGCACAGTGAGTTATCCCAAAGTGAACATCCTGAAGGGGCCCACATGGACCTGCGAAGAGCTGCGGCCTCTGGGAGAGCAGGGCCTCCAGGAGTCGTGGAGGAGAGGGACAAACCAGGTGTGGAGAGCAGCACCCTCTCCCCTTTCTCTAGGAGTAGCCGGTTACCAAGGACACCTGCACCACGGTGCATGAGGACAGCAAGGTGGAATCGTTGTTTTCTACACACAAGCTGTGGGAAGGCTGGCCGTGCTCACAGAGGGGACGAGAGGCCAAGTGCAGACAAACAGACCCTGGCAGGAACAGAAACTACCTGGCCAACAGAAGGGTGTTCTGTGGAGACTTAAGGCACCTTAAAACTTCTAGACCCCCAGCAAACATCACCCACACACTCTGCAGGTGACCTCTCCACATTGGAAAAGACAGCAAGGTGCTTCTCTGCAGGTTTACGGGCCACATGGTCTCTGTTGTAGGACGCATCAGACCAGGTGGGAGTCAGCCGAGAAGGCTTCCTGGAGGAAGAGAGTGAGCTCTGTGGTTGGCTAGACTTCAAGGGCCCGTTTAGACGGTCACTGCCAAGAATCAGTCTTCTTTGGGTTTCCTAAACTTCTCAAGAGCACTCCCTTGTGCAGAGACCTTGGGCCAGCCTCTATCCACGTTAGCTGTGTCCCCAAGCGCCTTCAGGATAGCTCTCCTCACCCCAAATCCCCCACCCCTCCAGACAAAGAAAGCCCCGAAAGAAAAGGAGAGTCAGTCTTCACCCAAGATTACCCAGCAACACCCTCGATCCATCCCAAGCCGAGAGCAAGAACCCATGTTCCTTAGCTCTGCCCGGATGACCAGGAAATGCAACATGGCTGGGTTTGCACCATGAGCTCCCTGACACACCTGCGGCGTGAGTCACCAGCGCAGGCACTGATTGCATGGTGTACTTGTCGACCGCAGAGTCAGTGACTTAGCAGCCTGCTCTCACGCACACCAGATGACATCCATCTACCTGGCCCCCAGAGACATGTTGGGACAGATTGGGTAATAACCCAATTTTTACTCAACCACGTTCCCAGTGGAGGTTTGGAGAGAGAGAAGGGGAGACGCAGATGGTTTCCCATGTTCGGTCTGAGCTCCTCCAGGGCCCAGGGCTATGATCCGACTCAGCTGCTATCATTCAGGAGGGGGCTAGGTATCCTGGGAAGGAAAGTAAAGGGACCATCTCAATTTTAAACCTTCTCCAGAACAGAGGCCATCTACTGTGACCCTCTCTGCTTCTGCTTTTACAAAATGTCATTGTAGGACCAGGGATTAGACCCTGCACCAGAAAAGGACATTAGTGGGACCACTGGAGGAATGTCAGTAAGACCTATGAGTGAGCGTTGTGTTAATGTTCACGTCTGCAGCTGGTCCTGCCTTGCACAGGGGTGTGTCAAACGTTAACAAGTGGGAAAGCTGGAAGAGGATATGGGGGAACTGGGTACAATTTTGGCAACTTTCCTGTAAGTTGAGATTTATATCAAAACCAAGTTATTGTTTGAGAAAAGACAGTGTTTTCCTCTAGCTGCTTACTTAACACTAAGTCTACATACAGTATTGCTAAACCTATTCATACCACAGTCCTGAAGGCAAAGTCTACGACATTCTCATACCAAAGCTGATCAACTCTTTGACACAGAGGAAAAAGAACCGAACAAAACCCTGCATTCAGTGGGCAGTCATTTATCCTGTACCTGTGTTTCCTCCCCAAGATGCAGGCCTATAGGGTAGAGAAGTGGTGGCCTTTGCCTCTAACTGCAAGAAATGCTCACCAACAGAGGCACACCTTCAACTGTAGACCTGATTTTGAATTAAAATTTAAAAAAAAAAAAAATAGCAATTTTGGGGGATTTTCCACAGGGCAACAAGCAAAATGTGGACAAATCCTTATGTAGAAGGAGAATCAACAATGCCTTACCTCTGGGGGTGAAAGTTTGGAAATACCTTAGTGACCAACAGTGGGGGGGATTATCAAGCACATTATAGTTCAACACCTGCAGTGAAATACAGTATCGCAGAATCACTGCAGGGGAAACATTCAAATGAAATCAAGGGGGAAATCGAGCAGGAAACAGAGCTGTGCTAATTACAAGATTTTAACAATGAGGAAACATGCTCTTTTTTTTTTGTTTTAAATTGTGGGAGCTGGATTTCTTCCTGCATTTTCCACCTTTTTTGCAGCTTTCTGTAAAGGAGAAAAAGAGAATGGGTGGGATGCAGAGGTGGCACTGTGGGTCACTGTTCAGCTGAGCAGTTTCAACAGTTCCTGCCCCAGGATCAGCTTGAGAACTGGGCAGGGGGAGGTGGGGGAATGGCCTGGGATCATGCTGCACCAACCTGGGCAGCTCCAGGGAGCCAGGTGGGGCTGAAGGCAGCTGAGGACCCCAACTTCTGGGGGAGAGGGACATATCAGTACTATCACCGTTTGATTTTTTTTTTTCCTTCCTCTGCTGCCTGGCTCTCTCCCTGCCGAGCAGGTGCTCTTTAGAGGTGCTGAAACCCTGAGCAATAACCAAGGAAGGTGCTGACCACCTGTAGTTTTCTATGCAGGAGGGACTTGGTGGGAAACATCATCACCAACAGGTTCCATGAGAGAACCTATAGGCTGCAGATGGGTTTGTGGGTGGAGGAGGGAATCCCACAGCTGGGAAAGCATCCCCAGGAAACCATCTTCAGAGGCAGAGACCTGGAGTTCAGGACAAGTGCCAAGAAGGGAGAAGGAAAAAAGGACCCTGATTTGTACCTTGAAGTGACAGGTCCTAGATGGCTGCCCCAAACAGGGCAGACACAAAAGAACAAGGAGAGAAGGAAACTGTAGATGCACAAATGGTTTACTTTCAGTTCAGGACTCAAGACTTAGCCCCCCTCCCATACTGGCCAGGAAACCTCTTCCATTACAAATTGCCCGGAGGAAAGAGGAGGTAGGAGGGTGGCAGGTGAACGCAATGGACCAAATTCCTGCCATCTCCCACCCATTCAGGAAACCTGTTTACACTGTGGCCAAACGCAGCCACCTGGCTTCCATTGAGGGTGGCCAGTACTTTCAGTAGGGCCAATCAACAGACACTCCGGCCCCCTCCGAGCCCCAGTTATTGACCTCAGAGCCTTCTCCAAGAGCTGCGCCCGAGAAGCACGCTGGGTCGCCAGTGAGCAGATGTCAGAAGCTATTAGGAGCGCAGCGCTCCCAAACTAACGGGACGGGAGGGGGACCAAGCAACAAGGTAAGTGCCAGGACCAAGCCGGTGCGTAAGGACGCAGGGCGCTTCCTCCAGCTAACGCTCTGTCCCAAAAGGCAGCCAAAGGCTTGGCAGCGCTGGAGCCTGAAGAATAATAACCAAGAATGCCAGGCTGGGGTGGTCGCTGATCACTGCAACCGGAGAAAATATGCTCCGCCTCGAGACAGAGGGTTGACAAAAATGATCTCCAAGAAGAGACACGGTGGGGCGGAGGGGTGGGGGACGAGGGGAGCAAATCAAATCCCCTTCCCCAAACTGAAAGGAAACTTACCTCCAGCTTAGCGACCGATTGTTAGGTAGAAGGAATCAATCCACTAATGAAGAGGAGTCCTGGGTCTTCTGAGCCCAGCTGATATGCGCCAAGTAATCCACGTTAGGGAGCCCCCATCCCTTTCCCCACTGTCCATTCAACGCCTAAGCGCCGCCAACCCCCAGCCTCTCCACCGCGGAGATGGCGGGGAATCTCGGCTGGGGTCCCCAAGCGGCTGCCTCGCGGTCCCCAGGGGTGGGCGCGCCGCAGGCATAAGCCCGGCGCCGGGAGGACCCCATGAACGCACTCCGCCTCCTTGCGCTGGGAGAGCACCGGTCCTGGACGCACCTTTTCTCTTTTCATCCCTGCGCATCGCCCTCGTGAACCCACAGATTGCGACGGGAAAACCCCTCTGCCAGTCCAGGAACTCGCTAAAGGCAGATCCTCTCTCGGCCTCAGGTTTCCAAGTCCGTGGGGCCCGGGCAGCCGCGGGTGGGCACCCGCCAGGCGGGAGAATGCCGGGGAGAAGGCCGAGCCACAGATGCCAGCTGCAGCAGCAGCGTCCTGCCTCCGAGAGCCGCCGGCACCGCGCGCGATCGCACCGCCTATGCCTTCTGCGGGCGCTTGGGCCATTCGGCTTTTTTATACCATCCGACCGCGGAGGGGCGGAGCTCGAGGGGCGGGGAAGGGCGGGGCCTATGGCTTGCTGGGAGTTGTAGTTCTGTCTTCCTGATCCAGGCAAATGCTGGGCAAGGCACAACAGCTGTCCTCCCTCCTCCATGGACCAGGCGAGACTCCAATCTCAACGTCAGTTCGGTTGGCATTTGTGCATAAGGTGGGTCACACCTGCCCCTATGTGCAGCCCAGGACGACAAAACTTGGTGGCTCTAGAGTTAAATCCAGCTGAGCTGCAACTCTGCCTAGCCACCAAGCAGCTGTGTGACCTATAGAATATGGTCCGGATTCTTCCTGTGGCACGGAGAGGGACGTTAGTGCCTGCTTCTGCAGGCGCTGCCCACACCACACACCAAACAGTGTGGCCTGATCCGCCTTCTTTAGGGTGAACGATTGTCATTTCCTTACATTGTTTACCTGCTAAGCACACATGCTTTGAGATACCCCTCCACAACCTAGCTGCTAGCTGGAGCCCTCCCAGATTAAAATTCTGGAACTGCCACTGCCCTTATTCCACCCTGGGTTTCTGCATACACCTTCTCCTTCACCCAGCACCTGAATCCTCACAGATGCTGGATGCAGGCAGGAGGCCTCCCTTCAGCAGCCCAGTCAAGTGAGAGGAGGAAGCAGCCTCAAGACATTGGCATTGGATGTGCAAGGGCCTGTCTGGGCCAGAGCATTAACCCTGCCTGGGGACATCAGCCAAGGCTTTCCAGAGGACTGGTGTCTGAGCTGAACGGGCAGGAGGTGGGCGAACAAAGACACACAGCAACAGCACACAGAGGGCAGAGGGCTGTCTGTGTGGCGAAACTTTGCAGGTATACAAGAAAACGGCAAGCTGAGGAGGAGGCCAGGGCCTGGGATTCGTTTCCGGGGGCTCCTATGACAAAATGCACAGACTGAGGCACAGACAGGGGGTTAGAACAACAGAGATTTATTTTCTCACAGTTCTTCTTGGCTGGAAGTCCAAGATCAAGTGTCAATAAGGTGGTGCATCTGTCTCAAATGGCATCTGTCTGAACCTTCTTTTGCCATGCCAAAGGGTGACAGGCCTCTCCAGATTCTGACCGTGGCTGGCCTTTGTCAGTGATCTTTGACTTGCAGATACGTCTCCTGACCCTCCACCTTCACATGCCTCGGCCTGTGTCTTTTTACATGTCTTCCCTCTGTGGTCTCTGTCTCTTCCCACGTGTTCTTGTCATAAGGACACCAGTCATATTGCTTTGAAGTCCCTGCTCCATTGTGACTGCATTTTAACTAATTACGTCTACAGTGGCCCTATTTACAAATAAGGTCATGCTCTGGGTTACAGGAGATTAGGACTTCAACACACGTTGGAGGTGGACACGACTCAGCCCACAGCAGGCTCCTGTGACTTGCTGCCCCAGTAACACCCACTGTGACTCACCAGCCCTTTTGATAAGAGCAAGCTCTGATAAATGAGATGAAACCACAGAATCCCTGGGGCTGTGAAAGGGAGGGAGGCTTGGACCCTGTTTCCCTGTGGCCACATGACACTGGAGAGGAAGTGGCCTCAGGAACAAGGTATCCACATTTAACGTGACAAGAAGCACCTGGTTATATTCCTCCAGCTCAAGGAATATACCCAGGTCCGGGAGAAGAGAAGGTTGTGGTGGGGTGCCTTGTCTTCCCTAAGCACTTTCTGATTTTCAACCTGCCCTAGTGACCATTGAAATCACAGGCGACAGGTGAGTTCTGATCTGGCCCTGGAAGCCTGGCTCCCACCTCTTGTCGTGTGGCATCTGCAGAGAGTCGGTGGCAGTGCAGCATGGTTTGACAACTGTTTCCTTTTTACAGTCACATTTATCTCCTCTCTTGCTCTGGGGAGAAAAACTGAGACCAGGACAAACATGAAGATGACCTCCCGTGGCCTCCCCCACAGACTCCTGGAGAGAAGCCTCCAGCACTGTCCTGAGGAGTGGCAGGACTTCACCGAGTCTTTCCCTGAGCACAGGGTGGCACGGCTCAGGCTGAGGGGCATCCTGTCCTCTCAGATGCTCCCCGTGCCCACTGTTGATCATGCATGGGTTGCTGGTGTTTTCTGCATTCAACGCATTCTACTACTCAGTCTTTCAAAACTGTTCTTCAGCACCTTAGCTACTTGAGTGGTTAGGAAAACCGGGTACAATTAGTTTGATTTTTTTTTACCACAGGAAAAGCCAGAATCACATCTCTTCATTGCCCCAAAACCTCCAGAAACGTCAATATGAATCTCATTTACACAGATTCAGATACAGACCCGTATAGAGATATTTATGACATGCATATACACATATTATATACAGATGTACATCTCCCTCCTCTCTCCACTGACAGCCTAGAAGCAATGACACCCTGTAGCAGGAACATGTGGGCTACAATTTTGTTCCTAATACCATTGTCCAACAAAGAGAACCAAGGATACGTGGAGAAATGGCTAACTCTAGGGCAGGTGCAAGAAACGTACAAGACAAACCTGGGAAATCTTATAGTCTCAGAAAGTGTTAAAGTGTATCTAGGCATCACACACACACACACACACACACACACACACACACATATGACCACCACCCATACACACCCCCACACACACACACCCCGTGACCCTGTGAGTATGGCAAAGAGTCCCAGAATCCAACTTATTGAGGTTCTAATGGCTGAAGTTAAGCAATGGTTTGAACAACAGAATAAATAATATAGCATTGGATTATAGCCCCAAATATAAACTAAATATTCTTAAGTCCATACTAATATAGTTGATAGAATAAATAGATCCACAGGGGGAAATATATCTCCTCTGCAGAAGAATTCCAAAAATGTACGTGGACAAGCTGCCCTCTCCTCTTCCTTCCAAAGGGTGAAGTGAGGAGAGAGGGCCCCACACCGTGGCATGGCAAAAGAAGGTTCAGACAGATGCCATTTGAGGGATTGGCCACAGAATCCTTGACCAGGGCTCCTCAAACTGTTAGGATTATCTAAAACAAGGAAAGTTCTAGAAACCGTCACAGCCCAGAGGGGCTTAAAAAGTCAGGATAACTAAATGTGCTATTCTGGATAGAAACCTGGACCTGGAAAGGACATTAGGGAAAAAGGGGAAAAAATGAGGAAATCTGAATACAGTGTAGACTTTAGTTAATGAGAATATATCGCTAGTGATTCAGAATTGTTACAAATGTAGCTATGATCTAGCTACAGATGTGGGG